ACTGTAAGGAGGTTTGGTTAGTAGCTTAAAGACTAGCTACTTGGGTTAGTAGAATAGGGTTTTTAGATAAGTAAGAAAAGAGGGTAACAAAGACAACTTAATGTCTTGGTTAACTTAGTAAGCTTTGGCTAGTAAGGACAATTTAATGTCCTTAGAGGATTTGTATAACTTGAAGCAGTCTGAAGCTTCCAATTTAGAGTTGAAGATCAAGAATAGAATTAATCTCTTTACTGCTAGTCTAATTACTGTAAGCTCTACAGGAGACGTACCACAGTCTCAAATAATGATGCCACTAGCTCTCGCAGTCTAGGGTTAGTCAAATAGTGAACTCGTGCACTATACCAAGGGCGTTTCCCTTCAGGTTATTTGAAAGTCAGAGGCTCTACTGTGCTTAAGGAATTTCCTAGGCTTTAAAGAAAGGAGTCTATTCTCTGAGAGCTAAAGAGCTCAGGGGATTAACTGCAGGTTTGCTGCTAGCTTAAATCCTTGAGAGTGTGTGTGGTGCTTGGTGGGTTGGTGTGTTTGTGTTCTCAGAGAACCTCTCCTATTTATACCTTTCAGCCTGTTGTTCCTTAGCCAATAGCAAAACTGGCTCTTCTATTCTACTGTAATTACTAAGCTACTTCTACTTTTATTAATAAGCATTTTGTCTGTATTAGTCAGCATTCTGTCTGTTTTACTAATGTATTGGTAAGCTATTACTAATGTTTGTTATAGTATTACTATATTTTGGTAATTCATAGCTGTTGAGCATAGACCTTTACTAAGCATAGTTTCTAGATTACTAAGAAGCTGAGTCATATTATTAGTCATTGATTCACTTTTAGTAAGCTTAAGTGTCTATGCTTACTTTGCAGCTCTGAGTAAGCGGTTTCTTTTTGATTTGAATACCTATTATTTCTTTAGTTTTCCTATACTTATAATTATGGTGCATGACAGTGTCTGTTTTTCCTAGTCGTGCTGATCGGACTTGTTCAGCAATGTCGTCATGTGTAAGATGTTTTTGAATGTCTTCTGCCAATTTATAATCCACGCTTGAAGTGGGTGCTTCGATTTCGATGTTGGAAATGATTGCTTCTTCGGTGAATAATGAGTCTGGTAGGAGGATTGTGGCGACAAATTTGTCTTCGGGTAGTAACACTTCTTCTGTATTGTCAAATTTTGCATCAGCTGGTGCAGAGGCTCTTGTCATGGCGTCCGCTTGGATGAGTCTGGTGCCTGCGTGGTGTTCAAGTTCATAATTGAACTGGGACATGAATAGTTGCCATCTTGCTTGTCGTCTATTCAACCGTTGTGGAGATCGGAAGTATGTGAGGTTCTTGTGGTCGGTGAGGATTTTCGTGGCGCTTGGGTTTCCTTCTAGGTAGTGGCGCCACGCTTCGAGCGCTCGTACTATTGCCAGTAATTCTCTATTGTAGATTTCGTAGTTGCGTTCTGCTGGATTGAAGGATTGGAACAGGTAGGCAACCGGTAGCCAATCTCCATTGATATCTTGTTGTCGGAGTACTGCTGCTGTTGTGAAAAGTGATGCGTCTGCTTCAATGAGGAATGGCTTTGTGGCGTCTGGCATTAATAGAAGAGGCGCTGAAGTAAATCGCTGTTTCAGCGTCTCGAAAGCTTTCTGACATTCGTCTGTCCAATTGAACGGCTTGTCTTTTTTGGTGAGTTCATTGAGCGGTTTTGCAATGTCTGAATAGTGGTCGATGAAGCGTCGATAGAAATTGCCGAATCCTAAAAATCTTTGAACTTGTTTGACGGTAGTCGGTATTGGCCAGTCCAATATTCCTTTGATTTTGACTGGGTCCATGGCAACTTGGTTGTATGATACGAGTGCTCCGAGAAATTCGACTTGCCATGCATCAAAGGTGCATTTCTCAAGTTTGAGAAAAAGGTCATTGTCGCGGAGTCTTTGAAGGATTCTTCGTGTTTGCTTTCTATGTTCATCTTGATTGGATGAATGAATAAGCATGTCATCCATATATATGACTAGCCATCCTTCGTTGACCATGTCGTGGAATAGGTCATTCATCATTGCTTGGAATGTTGCCGGGGAGTTGCATAGTCCAAAGAACATGACCGTTGGTTCGAATAGTCCTCTGTTCGTTTTGAAGGCTGCTTTCCATTGATCTCCATCTTTGATTCGTACGTTGTTGTATCCTGCTCGTAAATCAAGCTTAGTGAATATGCTGGATCCTTTGAGTTGATCGACGAGGTCTGAGATGAGAGGAAGTGGGTATGCGTTTTTGATAGTGCCATCGTTCAAATACCGGTAATCTTGGCACGGTCGTAGCGTTCCGTCTTTCTTTCCTACAAAGAAGAATGGTGAGGCCATTGGTGATTTTGATGGTCGTATGTAGCCTTTTTGCATATTCTTGTCGAGGAATTCGTCGAGTTTCTGTTGTTCTAATGGAGATAACGGATAGACCTTGCAATCTTTAGGGATGAAATCAGGTTTCAGGTCGATGGCATGGTCGTATGGTCTTGATTCCAGAAACCGTTCAGCTGCTTGTTTTTCAAAGACGTCTTGATAGTCTTGATAAGTGGTTGGTAGTTCGTTTTTTGTATTCTCCGTTGCCTGTTGTGCTATTGCCATTGCCGGGTTGATTTTTGCGTTAATCCATAAAGATGCTATGTCTTTGGCCATTTCGTCTGGTTCGGTGCGCATGGCATATGCGAAGGAGTCTCCTGGAGTGTATGCAAGGATGTAGTCTCCTTCCTCGCATTGTTCGGCTTGTATAACGGATTCCGAGGCGATTATCGAGGCAATGTGTATAGACTGGTCCAGAGGTGCTCCTTTCCTGAGAAGGTGTAGCACGTGTCGGGCTATTTCTCCTGGTCTGGCTTCTTGTATTGTTTTGGTGTTGGTAGACCCAAACCCTTTTGTTCCTCGTTTAGTTCCTGGTAAGGTTTCGACCTGTTTGGGTTTTGCCATAGAGATTCGTTCGAGTACTAGTTGCGCCACGCGATCTCCTTTGACCACTTTGTGTTCTTCGACTTTGGAGTTGATGAGGAGTATGCAAATTTCTCCAGTATAGTCTCTGTCGATTACTCCTGCTCCTACGTCGATTCCTTTGACTGCTAGTCCGCTTCTTGGTGCAATTCGTCCATAGGTTCCTTCAGGAACTTGAGCGCTTAGCCCTGTTTTGATAAGCATGCGAGATTGAGGTGGTATTATCTGGTCATTGCTTGCATAGAGATCAAGTCCTGCGGCTTCCTCTGTTCCTCTAGTGGGTATTTGTCCTCCTTTTGAGATAGTGACCGCAAATTCTGTTTCTTTTCTAAGGAGTGCTGAGTCATTGGATGGAAGGGTATTGATGCTTCTTCCTTCATTATCTGGTAATTCCTCGATTTCGCATCTTTGAATTCTTTTTGAGAAGTCTAAGGTGCCTTTGTTTCAGTTGATGGACGGGTTTCTTTCTTGTAACCAGTCCATACCGAGGATGATGTCTTGTTTGCCTAATTGGGTAACTAACAACCTTTCTTTGGTAGGTTGGTTTCCCACGTTCATGTAGATTTCGACTTCGTTGCGAATGAACCCAAGTTCGTTCGGGGTTCCGTCAACATTGAATACTTTGATTGGTCTTTTCAAGGGTTTCTCTTGTAGTCCTAATTTCTGGACTGTTCTTCGATTGATGAATTTGCCTTGTGCTCCTGAGTCGACTAGTGCAAGGACTTTTCCAACAGTTTCTTTTGCTCTGATTTGGATGGGGATACGCATCGATTTTAATTGCATGTCGGCAATTAATACAGAGGAAATTGATATTCTAAGAGGCGTTGACGTTGGGGCAACCCTCAGACATGAAAATCCGGATTAGCTTCGAGATAACGAGCGAAGAGATCCTTAGCATCTTCTTGAGAGAGTTTGGTTACTTCTTTGACCAAATCTCTAGGTTCGTTGTCGAGATCAATGAGGTTGGGTTCTTCTCTGACCGTTGTAGTGCGGACATTGGTGGAATTTCCTTTATTCCATTGTCCTGATCTCTGGTTTGTCTGAGGATGGTTGCCTTGTTGCGAGCGATTGGATTGGTATCTTCCTTGTTGGTCGCGTTGCTGGGGTTTCTTGGGCGAGGGACAATTTCTGGCAATATGTCCTTTGCCTTCGCAATTGAAGCATCGTCCCTCTCGGCGTGTTTGGTCTCGGGATACGGCATCGATGTCCATGGCATCGGGGTCGCGTTCCTGAGTTCTTCCTCCTCCTCCATTTCCTCCAGAGTGAGATGTAGTCTTGTCGATCCTTCCCCTTTGTCTTTCTCGTCTGAGCTTGTCCCATTCTATTTCTGCGTTGTCCAGCTTGAGTGCTTCTTCTTGCCATCCTTGGAGTGTGGTTGGCTTCTTTTCTCGTTGGATGAGAGTCTTTGCAAGGACGGATTTGAGTCCTCCTGTATAGGTACGTTGGAGGTAGGTGTCTGTGCTCGGGTTGTTGTACTTGGCTTCCTTGACAAGTCGGTTAAATTCGACGTTGTAGTCATTGACTGAGTCGAAGTCTGACTGCATTATTCTGTCGAGTTTTACAATGGCGTCGACTTCGCTATCCACTTTCTGAAAGGCTTTAGCGAAATCTTCCTTGAATTTGGTCCATGTGGGCCAAGTTGTGCTGGCTTCGTATTCGTCAAATTTAGTGCGACACCAGTCGTGTGGCTTCTTCTCAGTGTTGTTAAGTACAAAGAGAATTTTCTTTGCATCCTTGGTTGTGTCTTTGCCTTTAAAGTAGATGTCGCAGTCTTTCAGGAAGTCCTGAATTCCCTGCGTGCCATCGAATTTCTGGGGCTTCGGAGTAGAGGCATGTTCGTTTGCTTTTTGAAGTGCCTCGATCATTTCTCGCATGAGAGTGTTTGTGTCTGCCATTGTGGAGGGTGTCTGAAGTTGTCTGGTAACTTCGTATATTTCTTCCTGTCGTTCAGGTGGGATGGGTACGTCGAGATCTGGAAAGGGGATATCGAATGGTTCGAGTCTGATTTCTGGTACCTGAAGTGACCCTTGTGCTTCGGGTGTTTCATCGTCTACTTCGATAGAGGTAGAGGTTTCTGCCCTGCTGGGTGCTCGGCTATGTCTGCGAGATTGATCGTATGGGTGTGGTGTCTGTGGTCTGGACGGTGGTACGCTAGCGAATAGTTGAGTTGCTTGTTGGGCTTGTTCTTCTCTAAGCCTGGCTTCTTCGTTAAGCCTGTTCCTTTCTCGAATGAATTCTTCTTGTGCTGGGTCGCAGAGGATGAGTCCTTGTGGTACTCGTACTGTTCCTTGATATGCGTAGTATCGGTTGGGGCAAAGTTGTTGAAAACAACATCTCCAATGTCCTTCGTCGTATCGGTGGTAGTCGTGCCTATTGTCAGGCCTAAGGTTATGTCTGTGTGCTGCTGTGGCGCAGTCGTTCACCCCAGTTGCTTGTGGAGTAGTCGTCTTGACTATTCTTCGTGGCGTAGACCTGTCTTAGGTCCGCCTTGTTGAGAAGCTTTCAGCTAATGTTATGACAGAGGTTTCTTAGCAAGCCTGAAGCTTGTCTGATCGCCTTATCTGCAGATGAGGTTAGAGCAGAATAAAGAAACGTGAATATACGAAAGAGCTGAAAGCTGGGGTGCTACTGTACATGCGCGGGGTATTTATACTACTGCTCAGCCTAACCTAAGGACTAGTCTACTAGTCAAAGGGACTGCGGGTGAGTCAGTGAAGCTGCGCTCTATGAGTCGACGAAGGCAGTACTACTAAACTAGAGTCAGAGATGAAAAAGGAAATGATATCCCACGCCACCATGCCCATCATAACAATGACAAGCCAGCGGTTGAACTGCGCAATCTTGAAACAACCGCCTTTGTACTGTTGGACGATAGCTGAGAACTTGATATCAGCAAGCGCATTGTAAGTCGGTGCATACCTTCGTGTATCCTTCATGGAGGACTTTGTTTGCTTGTAGTAGAAAGCGGATTGCGCCATACCAAGAGAGAATGGGAAGAGACGGCCCGACGGTTGGTATGCTTTGGAGCTACAGAGTGGTCAATAGTAATTTTGCATGGTAGCCTGGCAAAGCAAAAATCATAGATCAACTCACACATCGCTCAGTGTACATACACTTGCGAAATGCGCAAGTTATGGCGTAGATGACCAAAGAGAGGCAACAGTAAGCAGACAGATCCATAGTTGGAACCTCGAAGAAGAGACAAAATAGACAAACGGAGAAGCCAAAGGCGTAAAGACTCGGGGTGAGCGGTCGCCTGTGTGAAAGCGTTCTGCCGAAGGCATAGCTCATATGTACTTTGCGCCGATTCGATCACATTCCAAGGGGCGTCCTCCGGCGTGCTCAGAATCAATTAATTGGTGCGCATCGCACACTTACACATGCACCGTGCCCGGGACCGCACAGCGGCCCAGGCTGGGCTGGGAGACTAAGTCCCCATTCCGCGAGACATCGCACGTAGTTTCCCGGGAAGGGGACGTTTTGCCTTCGTGCCCTCCTTGATCATCTGTCCTATTGGTACGGATGGACCGGAAGTAAACTTCTGTGCTCATGATCACATATCATGATCATGCATCATGCGTTATGCTCGACCCCACCAATCGAGCTGGAATGAGTGATGAGTTAGATAGTTGTTGAATGCCGCCGGCTGCCAAACAAACTTTGTGAAAAGCTTGACAGTTCCGATAAGCGGAGAGGGAAGAGAGCTGCGGAGGGGAGTCGCCCAGGGCAACTGAATCTCAGGGCAAAATTCGAGAGAAGGAAGGGAAGGGAAGGAGGAAAGGCGCACTGGCGAGTGACTGGGTCTTAGAGCTTCTTGCTCGCCACACTCGCTCGCCAGTTCTGCTCGGGTAGAGCCCAACTCCTGCTGTTATGACAGAGGTTTCTTAGCAAGCCTGAAGCTTGTCTGATCGCCTTATCCGCAGATGAGGTTAGAGCAGAATAAAGAAACGTGAATATACGAAAGAGCTGAAAGCTGGGGTGCTACTGTACATGCGCAGGGTATTTATACTACTGCTCAGCCTAACCTAAGGACTAGTCTACTAGTCAAAGGGACTGCGGGTGAGTCAGTGAAGCTGCGCTCTATGAGTCGACGAAGGCAGTACTACTAAACTAGAGTCAGAGACGAAAAAGGAAATGATATCCCACGCCACCATGCCCATCATAACACCTGCGAGTTGAAGGACACAATTTGGGCTCTTAGCGTGCGTCTTGCAAACTTTGGCTTGGCCAGAGCACATATCACAGGGTGGTAAGCGCAGTTTTTTTCTCAAGAAAACTCAGACAAAAGTGGCTAAACAAGGCCCTGTTATTCCTCGATTCTACGCCAATGCAAATTGAGGAGAAACCGGTGCAAAACCAGCCAAAAGGGTCTAAAACACAGTAAAACTGGCAGAAAAATGAGTTTTGCCTTCAGTTTTTTTCAGGTGAAAACCGGATAAAGTTGGGGCCTTGTTGGATCAGTTTTTGGCTAATTTTATGCCGGAAAAAAGTGCGCTTACCACCCAGTGTGGGAGTACTTATATCACGTCTTTATCTGAACTAGGCGCCCTGGTTCCGTTTGGGCGTCCCGGAGGAGGTAGGCGCGGATGGCGGCCCGGGGCCCCTGTGGCCTGTGCCTGTCATTCATGTTTTGTTCTCCGCTTGTTTATAAAGGCCTGCAGACTACTGTTAACGTTAAATGGGGTCTGTGCTACGGTCAATAAATATGTGTTCGTGCCGGTAAGCTTAAAACCTGCGGGTGTGAGAAATTCGCAGAAATGCACCAGATGGCCCTGGCCCCACATGAGCAGCGAGCCAGTCAATAGACTCTACCTGCCAAGCCCTAAACCTACCAGTTTTCCCTCACCCTCAATCACTGTCCGTGCCAAAACCATAATCGGTGGTCGGGAGTTATACTCCAGCCCCCCTTTGACGAGACATCCACTGGTGTGTTACTTGTGGACCTCGTCTCCCCGGTCGTCCTCATCCATGGGTGGTTCTTCAGGGTCCAAAAACGCTTCGAATCATTCGCCTATATGTTTGTATCTGCTCCTGTAACCAAATTCCTGCTCATGCCTCTTCCTCATACACAGGGAGGCCATGATCATAGTCGAAAGAACGCGCCATCGGGATACCACATACTTCGTATACCACTGTGTGAATCATGATCGCTGCTCAGGTCGAAAATCTACAGTAACCCGTCGATGAAGCGTCACCGGCTTCCGAAATGAGCCACGTTACTAAACCTGCAGCATTGGTTAGCGTTCGACTATGTATGATGCGCACATCACCCGTCTGACATGATAAAATGATGCAGGACAGCGATATCGCGCTCACTTCCAGTTCTCTCGTAGCTACAGAAAAATGCGGCCATTCTCCAGCGGATACCCAAGCCATACACCAGGAAGTGTAGCGTTCAAGACGTTTGACTACATCATCAGTGGCGGTAAGTGTTTTGCTAGAGTGCACCACCCACGATGTGCTCTGACGCATGTATATGCTAGGTGGAACAGCGGGATGCGTGCTTGCATCAAAGCTCTCGGAGGTCCCGAACGCCAACGTCCTCCTACTT